TGTCTATGTCTCTGAAAGGGGGGTCGTTAGAGGGAATTGTTGGCCTGGCTGAATAGGCAAGGTCTTCCGTTCCCCTGTAAAGGTGTAGGGGCTGCGATGATAGCAGGAAGGAATCAACTCAATTGCTGAATTGTAGGTTTTTGAAAGCTGAAATCTGAGTCCACCCCCTCTGTTCTGTTAGGTCCAGTTTTTGTGTTTTGTGTTTTTCCTTTTCTCCCCCACCAGGAGGTGCCCTGTCTTCGCTGGCCCTCCCTGCACACCTGCGGCTCATTGGACCATTATCTGGAGGAGTATTTGAGCAGTGGGCTGTCACTACCTCAACGCCAACTGTGTTTGCCAGTTTTGGGTACTCTAGCCAAACTGATATTAGCTGAGTCTAACCTAGGGCTGTTTATCTGAGTCTTATGTTCTTTTGTCTTTGTTTCCCCAGCAGAAAGACTTCCTGTTTTACTGGATACCTGGACCTTCTCCCCCTGGAAGGAAATACTGAGTTCACACTGAGCAGGGGAAAACCTCCACATGATCAGTTCCAGTTCTACCTCAATAAACCTGTTAAACTTTTCCTGTGTTCTCTGAGTGGTTTCTCTGCATGTGGGTCAGATTTGTGAAACCGATAATGACATGTTCAGCTTTCAATAATCCAAGTCAGCTACTGTGTATATAGAGAAATCATATTTCAGTACACAACAACTTTTTTAATGCTATTTTGTACTATATACACTCTTTTTATATTCTCTTTAGTATTTTTATCTTTAATGGCATCTTGCTTTAACACTGTCCTTTGTACTCTATATAAGCTACTGGAACCAGAGTTTCTCTCAAGGAGTAATCCCAAGGGATAAATAAAGATGAGTCTAAGTCTAAGTTTTGGTCAAGGCATCATAAAAGTGACAGATTGACAAAAACTGATCAGGAGTGCCTACCTAAAGGTGCGTTTACACCGAATGTGGCAAATTTTCTGCATAGTTTACCTGGCAGTGGTAGCTTGACAACTTAGCTCCTGGTCACAAATGATTCGCAATGCATATATGGCAAGGTGTTTTATCATGACTTCCATCATAGATGTCTATTATTTAAGTTTGACTAGATAACACTGGAGTAACAGATATGTGTAATTCTGGTTTCTGAGTCAATGGGGTCATTTTGAAGTGTAGTGCAAGCGACAGCATCTGCATTGGCTTCCACAGGTACTCTAGATCTGCTCCTAGTTCCGGCCAGCTCTTAGGGGTGCTCAGGACCCAGGTGGGGACTCTGCTGCTGCAGCGAAACTGATCAACCTCCTATGAGTTTTTGAATGAAAAATCTTCCCCTCAAGGTTCTCCTTCACCATTATTGCTGAATTCACATTCGGTGTGAATGTACCTTAATAGCTGCAATGTCTCCTTGTACTCTACTATATACGCTACTTATTTCAATATTCCATCTACTACTCTATTTAATTATCCTAATCCTAGAAAATTATTTCATTTTTTATTAATAAACTATAATTTTGTAGTTGTTTGTATTTTTGACTGGAATGGATACAAACCTGTACTAAAATTGCTTAAATGGTAGAAGTTAGACCTGCAGCAATTGCGCTAACTAGTATTCGGTTCATAATCATTTATATTACAATTTACTTTGAAACATTAAAACTAAAAATTAAACACATACAAATTCAAACTAAATTATCTTCTGGGGATTATTTGTATAAAGGTGATTCCATATCCTGAGATTCATCTTTACAGAAACTTTCTTACTTCTCTGCAGACGTTCAGCCAGCTCCTTCTGCTTCATCATCCTCAGGAAGTTCTGTGTGATTTCCATAAAAGCTTCTCTGCTGCTCCTCCTTTGCTCTTTATCTTCACCTTCCAGCCCATCCTCATCCTCCCATTGACTCTCTGTGCTTTCTAGGTCACATGAACTCAAAACCTGCTGGATCTTCTTTAGCTCATTTTTCACAAACTCAATAATGTTACCCTCCAGCAACTAGAAATAGAAAAACAGGAAAGAAAATCAGACAAAACATCACATCCGTCTTATTAGATAAACTGGCATTCAGTTGGTCAGTAAAGTGCAGCATGGAAATCAATGTGAACAAAATACATGGAACAATTAGTTGTTATGTGTACAGACCACAAATATAGATTCCAGCTGGTTTTGATTCTGCTTGGCAGTTGGAGAACTTGAAACTGCTGAAATCTGCAAGTCCCAGCTGTGGAGGAACCAGGAAGCATTAATTCTCATTACATAGAACCAAAACCAAAGGTCCATAAGGTGTTCTACTCTTCTTATGTGTCTTTACTCATTCATGGAATAAAGTTCCCAGGGAGGAAGTCTCTACCTGAGCAAGGCAGGAGATTCTGATAATAATTTAAGCAAAAGATTATTTGACATTAAATATGACATTTTTGTCATGTAACTTTCAAATATATCCCATTAATAGGGGATAATTAAAAGGAATAAATAAACAGGTGTGCAAGTTTACCCAAAGATTATGAATATATTAAATTCATAGAACTGGAAGATATAGTTGATTAAAAGGCCATTCTATCTGAGGGCAAAATCAATTAATAATTATTAGTTAAATAATTAAAACTAATATCTGCTTATTTTTAAAGGTTCTTTAGTCTTTTACTCAAGGTTGTACTCTTGGGCTGGCTGTTTAAATCCAGTTGCCTTCACCAGTATAGTAATAGAGACTATTGTCATCAGCAGAATTATTAATCACCAACTGAAGAAATCTGTCTACGTTCATTCAGATGTTAAACAAAGCAGGGTGGATCTTATCACCTGACTGATAAATCGTCTACTGCATAAAATAACCACAAAAGACCTTGGGTTGAATCACTGTGAAACTGCCAGGTTGTGTGGATTGTTATTTCAATAAACTGTTGAACTTTTATTCCAGTCTGTGTGTGTGTTCTGCATGTGGGTTAGGTCCATTATTCCCACCATGACATCTGAAAGCTACAGCTAGATTGCCAAAGGTCTGCAATGCTGGAATTGCTGCAAATGGAGGATTCTTTGACGAAAGCAAAATTTGATGTAAAAAAAATCTTATTTCAGATACAAATCATTATTTCTAACCTTGTCAATGTCTTGACTCTATTTTCTATTCATTTCACAACATATGGTGGTGAATAAGTGTGACTTTTCAGGAAAACACAAAATTGTTTGGGTGACCCCAAACTTTTGAACGGTAGTGTATGTATGTATGTATTTTAAAGTA